TTGTTGGCAATTTACAGTAATGTTCCTTTTAATACAACCGGCTGTCCAGAGAGATTGGGTTCCAAGTGGTTACAACATGGACACAAATAGAAATGTGTGAGAGAGCAAGAGGAACGAGAGAGGAGGACCATAGATTAGTGATAGAAACATATAGCACAAGGTACAGAAAGTGTTGTGGGCTACTAAAATGAGTTGAGCACAGAAACACTGGCAGAAATGTCAATACAGAAACTAAATTTGACCTGTACAGCACTTAATAATAATTTAAAAAACTGAATCATGGACAACAGAATTCCATAAATTCGTATTGGTCAGAAGAGCTTTAACAAATTACCGTCCAGTAATGTGCTTACAATACATTTAAGCAGTGTTTTGAAAGATGATATTGCCAGGTTTAGCGCCTCATGTCTGTCCCAGAAGAGGAGGAAAAGGGGGAAAAAAAACATCAGCCACAAAGAGATGTAGCTCAGAAGTGAAATTGAAATATTGCTTTGGGGTGTTCAGTTCATGAAAGACATCTTTCCACTAAGCCACTCGTGCAAACCCTGGTGCAACCGGTGTGTCATGTTACATTGCATAGCAGTTAGTAAGTTGGTCAGCCCCACTAAACATTAGCCTATGCCCGCCATATCCGTTACTTAGCACATGACCACTGTATGACCTGTGTTAATGCGTTTTGTCAAGGTTACTTTTATGGTATCCTGTAAGGAAAATGTTACAATAAAGATAAAGGGAAGTAAAAGAACATTCGCAAACACCAACATGGAATAAAAATACACTATACGCAAACAAACATACTGTTAAAATTAAGAGATTTCTAAAACATAAATATACTGGGGAAAAAACAACTTTACATGGACTATCAATATTTAGTTTATAACGATAACGGTGGCAGAGTTCTGGGACAGAGCCACTAATGTTAGCTTAAGCGCCAACTAATAGCATCCAACACATTCCTTGGCCTTCGCAACACTTACTACTGTAGGAAGTAAGCTGGACATGCTAATGTTTGCAGCTTAGCAGACAAACACACTTTTTAATCTATCCCTTACAGTTTTGTTCTTGTATTTTTAGTTGTGGGGAGGGTAAAAAAGAAACTACCATCAAACTACCACCAAACTCTTTATAGGATATTGGATCATTTTTGAAGCGTAAATACAATTGCCAGAATTAAAAAGCTAACATTAGGCTATAAACAAATTACACCTAGGTCAGATGACTTCAACTTTACCATCACAAAGCTCCTGTGTTCAGCATGAGGATGTTTAATGTCCCCAACAACAACCCAACCAACCAGCTTTTTGAAGACACATACAAGCTTCAAAATTCAAGAGTACCTTTTTTTTTATGTCGTAGAATAAAATGTGAACATTTCTTAAACGTGTTAACCACAGACCTTATTTCAGCCATCTAACCAAAAATCCCTTCAAAAAACTCACTGACATTGAGACGAGGGAACCAGAAGAGCAAAAATGTTAACTCATTTCCAGGTTGCGGGACTTATTTCTTCAGAACTTTATTGTCTGTGTCTGCAGTATTTTCTCACAATTAGACTGTTATAATAAACAAGTAAGATTTTTTTGAAAAGCAGCTGTAGTTTGGTCACAGATAATTTGACCAAAGAAGGCAGTTTATTTTTTATTTCCTCTTAATTGTAACTTGTCTGTAGTAGCTCTATGGTCTTGTAATTGCTCTTGTCTGCCTTAAACTGTTGAGTGAAGGTACACTTGCTGTCGTGTAGTGGCATGTGAGCAATGTGCACACCTCCCCCAGAATAGATTCTGTATCAGCACATTGCATCACTTGCCTGTCATCTCTTGGCACAAATCATGTGCCTTGAAAACAAGTATTTTGTGTGTATGTAATATTGAGTGTGGGCATGTTTCATGATCACGCATGTATGTATATTCACACCATGCAGCCGTAAGTGGAGGTATTAAAAATATGTGTGTTTATTTGTGTATGTTTAGTGTGCACTCCTGTGTATGTTTGTGTGTTTGCAAATATTATGCATGCTTGTAATGAGTATCTCTGTTAGTGTTTGTTTTGTTAGTCTGCCCGTGTTTGCCTGCAGGAGCCAGTTAAATCTTTCCTGCTGCCAAGGGGAAAAACTGCACCATCCTGCGTCAGCCACATCCTCATCACAGAAATCAAAGGAATATGAATGTTTTTTTTATCTCAGGCTACTGTAGGACACACCGAGGGACTGTCTGCAGATTCTGCCTGCAATAGGCCACAGTGACAGAGCCTGCTCTCGTTATTACTAACTTGGAATACAAAGCGGTGCTGAAAAACCCGAACCAGATCTTTTCTACTTTTGTAAAAAAAAGAACAGGGTAGAGTTTAACTGAAAAAGAAGAACAAGAGGGGCAGATGCATGAAAGAGATAAGTGCTCTTGTCACTGTTTTCTGAGTAAGTCATGGTTTAAGGGGTAGTGTAGGGAGAAACAATGACAAAACATGCTAGTTTTTTTTAGTTGACAAAGAAGAAAGTCATGTTTTGGTATATGAGAGGTAGCATCCCTTTGTATAGAGATGGAAAAATGACCAAAAGAAGAAGATGAGAGGATCAAGAGAAGGAGTTTGGGATACAGTTTCAGGCAGGTTCTAGGCAAAACAAGAGTGCCAAATCGAGATTGCGCTCAGTCCACTACACAGTGCATTCATAGTATGATCAGTTTAATGTAATTCCAGCTCTCTGACTCACTGGACTATCAGCTTGCAGCTTATAATTAAGCTTATAATAATTAAGACAACTATAAATAAGAAATTATGAAATAATCTACTTAGCTTAAAATAATCATTAATAACTGAGCTTTTAATACCTAAACATGATGGCTATAATCAATATTTTTGGCAATGGATCAAGACTATGTGTAATGTGAAAGGGTTTGCTAGTAATGACAGTTAACCTGTCCATGCAGTTCCCCTCAGCTCTTCTGAGCTTTGTATCGTCTTTCGGGTCATTGTTTTGGTTTTTCAGCTTTACTGTTTTAGTTCACTTTCACTGCTGTCATCTGTGGTTTGACTGCAGCATGAAACAGTTTTTAGAAAAAAAAAAAGCTCTGAAAAACCCAACACCAAACACAGAAAAATTGAGTGACTGAATACTGGACATAGTGGAGTATTAAGCAGCTAAAGAATTAGATAATTTCCCCCAAGAGTTGATGGAGACCAAAACAGAGCTTGAAGGAGAGTGAATATTGGACTTCCATTCAACAGGGCCAGAAATGAAAATGATAGTGTCCACTGTATGCGTAAATAGGCTGTTTGCTCACAATTTCGTTTCAATTTCAATTTCTGCTGATCCCATGCAGTCAAAAAGGGTTAGTATAGTATGTTATATCACAAAGAAGCTTTAAAATATTGTTTCTCTTACTCATTAATTAATATTATAGTCCGTCTTTATCTACATTTATTTACAAAAGTTGAAAAATCATAAATCCTTTGAGTTGCTCATTACAAAGGTTTTCTTAATTATTTGCTGTTCTAAGGCCCTTTTCTAGCTGATGACCATCCTTTTAGGTGCAATTCCTCTACAGATCTTCTGAAATATTTGTTTGTTTGGTTTTAGGAACTGACTTGTGATCATGTGACACCATGCGGTGTCTCAGCCCATGGTGTAGGAACGCTGTGCCGAGGAAAGTTGATCTACAGTTTGAATGTCATTGGGGTGATTGAATTCAGCTCAGAAGGGGCGGCAGTAAATTCTGACTTTATGGATTTGTCCTTCACATCAACTCTGATCAGACAGAATGACCTGGCAACAAGTTGCAGTGTTTTTTTGTGCTTTTCTTGTGTTCACACAGTTTGAGAGGTATGTTGCTTATATCAGAGGAGAGAGGGAATTGTACTCTTAACTGTGTATGTTATGGAAAAAAGGAACTTTTGGGTAACAACATGCACATTAGCTGTGTGCATGCACGCAGTTTACACTCTAGGCAAGGTCCTCAGATTCTGTTTTGTACGTATTACTGGTAGTTGCCACATCATATAAATCACTATGCAACACCTCAGCCACAGTTCTGCAGTGCTAAGGGTGAGCTAATATTGTAACTGTGGATGGCCAGGGTGGGTGAAAAGGAGCCTTTTTTTTTTTAACAAAATATGTTTCTAGGCGCCATATTTTGTTACACTTCAATGCTGATTTCATGACCCAGAATATATAGAGTGGCTGCTGATCTGCAGAAGATCATTTCCTGGCAGTTCATATTTTCATTCTGGAAGTTCAGTCCTCAAACGTCTGAGAAAATGTGTGGTTGGCTCAGGACGTGGTGAGTCAAAACAAGTTTGACAGCTTTTCTGAGCCTGAGAACATGAAGGCCTTCATCCAAAATGCAAATACCAGTTACCTGGTGTAGTTTAATAATACTTCTGTATTGAACCTATCTAACCTCTATTCTCTTGAATTGAAAGAGTCATACATGTAAATAATTGAAGGATTAATAAAGTTACCTTTAACATATGTACTGTATGTAAATCGCTTTCCTTTATCTCTCTTTGTCACACTTTCTACATCTCTGTGGTGATGAGATGTGATAAATGCAGCGGTAAAGTGTGTGTGCTGCTATTTAATCAAATACTTGAAACAGGAAATTGTTCATGCGTCTGTCTCTGCCTGTGTGTGTGTGTGTGTGTGTGTGTGTTGTGTGTGTGTTTTCTTGCTCCCCTTCCTTTTGTAGTATCTAACAAACTTTGTACGTGTCACAACGGACCGCAGAGAACCAATTTTGAACATCAGCAGCTAACAGGGTAGATAAAAGTCTCTATGGAGCACCTTAAATGTAAAAGTTAAATGTTATTACTTGCATTCAGTTATTATTTTTTGTTTTTCTAACTCGCATCGAAGTAATGAGTAATGTCACAACCTTTGTGGCTTTCTGTGGCTGGGAACTGAAGCAGAGATGATGTATTGCCGGTTTGACGAGGCTCTCCATTCATTCTTCAGTGACCGACTTTTGTTTCTTCTTCTTTTTATCTGTCTCTTTCTTGGTGTTCAGTTCTCCAGCTGAAGCTACAACAGAGACGGTCCAGAGAGGAGTTGGTCAACCAGGGGATCATGCCGCGTAAGTAGACTGCAATTTATGTTCGAGAAAAACGTTGCCCCTTGCTCTGAAAAAGTTGTTTCTGTTTTGGAGTACATCCAGATTATGAATTGTCCACAAAGTTAGCCTTTCATGAAACACTTTGCTGATACAACTTTTTGAAATCATTCATAGAAGAAGTGAAAATGGACAGGAAATTACCCTTGTTCAGTTCATTATTTTCATATATTATAAAAGGTCAAGTTGGCTTTTCCAACCTTTCACTTTTCCATTTTCATTGTTGATTAATCTGCTGATAATAGTGAAACATGCCTGTAATTTCCCACAGCCCAAGGTGATGTATTCAAAAACTTGTTTACTATGACAAAGCAAACCATCAAATCTTCAATGTTAAGAATCCTAGATCACAACAGTACACAAGTAAAAACAAATACAGATAAAATATGTGAAACAAACATTAAAACATAACACAATATGCCACAGAGCATGAGTTTTAGCCTCATTAGTTAATTAAAGTGCATCTGGGTAATGAGGCAAGACTAAATATTAGAGGCACTGAACATTATAACCATAATGAAGGTGGGATTTATTGCCGCTATTGTTGAATAAACTGCACGAGATTTAGCTAGACTAAGACTAGCAACTGTCTTCAAGCTGAGGTTTTTCATTCATTCATCACTGCCTGTGAGAGTCTGTCGTGTCGCTTCAGTTTTAGCCTCATTACTTGCTACACAGCAGTTCTCTGAAGTGATTTGGATTGTGGTTGAGACTGTGCCAACATCTCCTGAAAGACAGCAGTTTCAGTCTTCAAAGTAAGGTGAATCAAGGTCATACTTCAACTGCCATCATGAACATCCGTTTGCTGCCTTTTAGCTGCTTTTTATCTGATTAAAAGATTTCCCTGTGCACCATCAAACTCAAAATGTTTAGGTGCTTATATGCTTTTGGATCAATGCAACATGCTTAAAAACTGTCATTTTCATTAGACAGCATATCAGACAGCATACTTTTATGTTACTGTTCAGCACATGTATTAATATTTGTATTAATGCATGTTCTGGTGTTAACCAATAGGAACATACATTTCTGTACAAGGGAATGGCCTAAATTATCTACAAATTAATGCTCATAATCCCATTTCGTCATATGCTTAATTATAATTATTTCTTAGAAATAGTCCATACTCTGCTTTTGACAGTTGATGTCATAATAATCACACACGTTACAGAGGAAGTGTGTCGTGCTGTGTGTCTTATCTGCTTTTATTTCCTATTGTTATCTGTTCATCTCGTAAATGCTTGAATTAGCTGCCTGAAAACAGTTTACGTAGACTGTTTTATGCATTACCCTCGCTGTTCCAAGAATATATTATTTCCTGCATTACAAACACATACAAACACTATTTCCCCTATTTTGTTGCGGTTATAATACAAAGTTCCAGTTCTTATCTTTGTACGCAGACAGCATTGATAATGGAACATGACTTAGACCTTCATCTGGTGGAGAGCTGCAAAACAATTGACCATTGTTAACAATGAGGAGACAACGGGTACTGTTGAGTTTCGTATTGTCTGTGATCAGAGAGAGAGTGAGAGACACAGTCGGCCAAGTGTGACCCAAGGACTTAGTGTCATCACAGCTCTTGTCTGTCTTGACTTGTGTTTCTTCCTTTCTGACTGGCTGGGACGAAGATCAAAATGTTTGGTTCATAGTGTCATCCAATTAGCCCATGCCTCTCTATTTTCCTTATCCCAAGGCCTGTTGCTTGATTAGGTGCTTGTTTCGTCCCTGTGTCATATCTCATGCAGTGTTTAGGGAAATTGCAATGTCCCCTTTAGCCTGGGCAGAAACCAACAAGCCCTCTTGTGAGCGTTTATAATCTGAACAGCTACACGGACAAATATGACGATGCTCATGTGACAGGTAAACGCTTTATTTTTATAACTGCAACTGTTGGACTATGTAACATGATGGCTGTTATTTATGTTGTCATTGAACACAGGCTTAGTTGGATGTAGGTTTGAAATGGTTGAGTTCAGATATGGGTTTTAAAGTGGTTAAAGTCAGAGTAAGGACATGCCGGAACAATTAGCCACTGACATTTCAGCTACCCTCCTCTGTCACATGACCTTGATCGTAATTGTTCCTGTAGTTTCTCAGGGAGACAGTAGGTAGTTTGAGAAGCACACTGTAGAAGGCCAGTGATCACATCTCTACAACTTCCACCTCTGTATTGCTGTTCTTGCACTCAGACTCCTCTTGTCTTCCCATTTATGTCTTTTCCTTCAGAAATTCAAATTCTGCTTGTGCTTTAAGTCTTCATTGTTTTTGTTTTTTTTCATATTCTTCTTCTCGGTCTATATTATTTACTGTATATGAAGATAGACATGACAGCCCCCCTGAAGCCAAAGCATCTTAATCACCCCCTGGTGGCTGGCTGCAGTATAGGTCATAAACCCTGCCCCCTACATGTTAGCAGATGGCACATGGGCTCCCGATTGAGTGGGCCAGGTGTATGGGCAGGGCCTTGATACCGCCGCCTCAACCTCGACTACCACTGCGCAGACTCTGGCTTCGAGTGATGTCACAAGATGGCAGCTCCCTTATCCAGGATATTTTGGCTTCATTTTTGTACAGTGGGAGGTCCACATGCGTACATCCTACCTTTCTTAACAGAATGCTACCATATACCCTCATCTTTCAGCTCCTTCCCGCAGTCATTTCAAGAAGCAGCAGATTAGACCTCAAAGGAAGCTTTCCTCTTTAGTTCCAAACAATAGTTTCAAACAAATATTTGTCAGCCGGATGGACATTTTGGGAACCGGGGTTGTTCAATTTGTTGCATTCAAATTATTTTAAAGATATGTGTTAGTTTGAAACTTAACTCTCTAAAAATGTGACAGCCCTAGTGGGTGTGTGTGTTTGTAGCTGCATGTTGGTTGCTTGAGTGGTGGGGTGTGGTGTGTGTGGTAGGGTGTGCTCATTTGACACAGTGTTATAATAATCCCACAGTGTGATACCCTACCTAGCACTTTATTTATAAACTTTTCAGACGTGTAAAAACTTTTTTTGAGTTTGTGCTTCTCTACATGTGGTTATCAGGTTATAGGCTAAACCTTAATGCACTGGTATAGAGTATAAAATGGAAAACAACGAGTAAGAGTGAAAACATGAACCTTTAGTCACACAGGTGTACGTAGTGATAATGACAATGTGACTGCTATTTCTGAATGGGCATGAGGACAAACTTCATTGGACACTTTGGATATACATTGTATGATGATTGGTAAACCTGGCCCAGTTACTGTGACATTTGGATTGACAATTTCTGGCGTTGCAGATGCAGTTGTGCCATATTAGTTCTGCACACATGTAAGTATCAGATTAACACTTACCAATGGAGAGAGAACAGCTCTCACAAAGTTCTCACATCTGAAATAGCTACCTGTGGTCTTATAAAAACAACACTTGACATGTTTGTGGAAGACAACTGTGATATTTGTGTAATTATGTGGCTATTGAAGCTATTGACCAACAGATCACACAGTTTACATTGCTGACCCTGTGGAGTAATATACAGAGGAGCCTTTCTTAAGTGCAAGCCAGTCGGTTAACACATAACAGACAAAACAAAGCACTTGTCAGCAACAGACTGAACATAAAAAGACAGCCACCACCAGAGGAAGCGATGCTGCTCGTTGTTCTGAAAGTTTAAAGACCAGGAATGCTGCTTAGCTTTAGCAGGGTGGCAAGAAGCCATGATGCAGCCACTCATGCACATAATGGAGTCTTTTCTCTCTGACCTCATCCCACCACTCTCTATTTCCTCCTCTTCATTTGCCCTTCGGTCTGTTGTTCCATTTTTCTTCCAGCTGCCTCTCCCCATTTATCTCATCTGCCTGTCTTCCCTCCATCCGTTTTCTGAGTCTTCATCTTCTTCCTATCTATTTCCATCCCTTTCACTTTTGTCCCTGCTTCCAAAACCTTATTTTGTGCTCATCCATCCATCTTTCCCCTCCACCCCACCACTCGTTTCCCATGTAGTTGACTGACAGGCAGGTTCATACACCCTCAAGGAGGCCACATAACCCCCTTGTGGAAGGGTGAGAGGTCTAAGAGGGGTAATGTCCCCAGGGCGTGCACAAGTCAGTGTGTACCAGCAGTCTGACAGGGCTCAGCCACGTGAACTGAGGCTTGAGCAGGTACCAGCAGTCTTACCCCAGGGTTGCTAATCTAGTCACACCACACACACAGTGTGTGTGTGTGTGTGTGTGTGTGTGTGTGTGTGTGTGTGTGTGTGTGTGGCGTGTGCGTGTGCGTGTACAGTGAAGTCCAGTCAGAGTATTAGGACAGCTACACATGTGTTACCTATAACAGTAAGGCTCAATAACTGTTCCTATTATTACATGTAATACAGCATTATTTAATAGTTTGAGGTTTAGATTCTTGTTTTAGAAGCAAAATCATAATGCCTGTACTGATATGCTACATTTAACTCAGCATTTTGGTGTCATCACAACCCTTTAGGCCTTTAAGTTTCTAGCACCACTAATCCCTTGGTTTTTGCATAATCATAGGCCTACAGGAAGTCTTGCTTGAGTCATTTGTGAATGCTCAACAGATTCTATAAATTCCACTGCTGTAAAGAGGCTCGTTGGACTGTAAACCTCCATCCATTCAATTTCTACCTTTTTATCTTGAGATTTTTGGCCTTTTACAGAACTTGTTAATGGGACCAGAGCCCCAGCTATTATGCTTTTTGTTCTGTAATGGCTTATAAACGTGTGAGCCTGTACAGTGAGAGCAGACATTTACAACACCGACATGGCACTCAGAACCAGAGAAAGGAAAAACTTTGGCAATATAAGAGCAATAATCCTCACCATCAGTAAACATATTCAAACTGAACTGGAACTGAAATGAAGAAGCGAAGAGCGATTCAAAGCTGTTTTGCTCTCCATTTCCCTTCAGTGGCATGAATGTACACACTGCCATGTTAATGTCCTCTCTCTTTCTCTCTCTCTCTCATTCTTTATTCTTCAAGCACTGAAAAGTTCAGCTTCCTTCCACGAACAGAGACGGAGCTTGGAACGAGCACGGGTGAGCACATCCTCCCAGAATCCCTGACTGGAGTCACAACTGACCTGTTTGAAGCAGACATTCATGCTCAATCTAGGTTTTGTAACATCTGACGTCATTACAGCAGCTCTTGAATAATCAGAGAATGTAAAACAGGCTGGTAATGACACATAAGAGCTAAGGCCATATGCAGAGAAAATAGATACTCATACTCTGTATCTAAAGTATCCAAATAGTATATCATGTAGCATAGGTGTGGGCAGATAAAAGGTTAGTGAGAGGTTGAGTTATGGAAGAATAAGTATGTGATATAAATCCAAAAGTTATTGTCTCAATTTTTTCTCTCTCCTTCTTCAGACTGAGGACTATCTCAAGAGGAAGATCAGGAGTCGACCCGAGCGATCTGAACTGATCAGGATGCACATCCTAGAGGGTGAGTGCCATATAGAACCTCCTGTCTGTCTGGAGTCTAGGCAAGTGTGACAAATAACTCCTTGCAAAGTGGCAAAACAAAAAAGTCAATTGTTTGGGTTCTGCCTGCTTCCAGAGACGTCAGCAGAGCCGTCACTTCAGGCCAAGCAGCTGCAGCTGAAGAGAGCTCGTCTTGCAGATGATTTGAACGATAAGATCTCCCACCGGCCAGGGCCCATGGAGCTGATCCACAAAAACATCCTGCCTGTTCACTCCAGCATTAAACAGGCAATAATAGGTAAGCCAGGCCAGGTTCAGATGGATTCTATTTGTCATTTACACTCCCACAGGGTCTCTAAATGAAATACAGAGTACATCCAAGACAATATTTTTTTTCCTTTGACTTTTGGCTGGACTTCAATTAACTCTCTCACAATTACTTCAGACTAGTGGAGCCAATTATAAACTTGACTTAAGTGTTGAATTATTTATATTCAATTAAGCTGACAGCAGACCTCTTTACTTTAAACACCAGCAACACCAACAATGTGGCAGGAACAGGGGTGTAATGAGGGAGCGACAAGTGCTGCTTTTCACTTTCCCCACCCAGATTTATCCTGTCCGGTCTGGGGGACTGAACTGAATACACCTTTAAATAAACTATGCCCTGCATATATGTTCAGGAGGGAGGTGTAATATATCACAACACACCAACAATTTAAGGCTCTTGACATTATGTCCCCCTCCAGCTATCATGAACATACTGATGCTCACTCTCAGATGCCTCAGCTGTGCCTGCCATACACACACACACACACACACACACACACACACACACACACACACACACACACACACCAACAACACATGACACACACTTGCACAAATGCATTCACATCCAGTGTGTACATATACAACAACCGTGTTACACACAAACCCCCTCACCTGAGTATACATGCTTCAAACTTCCAGTGCTGTGGGTTTCATCCTTGCTTGACGGACAGGAAGTGAAGACATCTCTTCCTTCTCTGCTGTCGGTGTTAAATGGCCACAGTGTCTGTTAATAAAACCCATTATCTTTTATTAGAAGAATTACATACTAATTGAAGAGTTATGACTCTAAATGAATTAATGTGATTTCACTCAGTTGCAATTTGGGCATTGTGACAGATCTAATGACCCCAATTTCACCCTTTTCCATTTCAACATGAACAATGAAAGAAACAAAGGAGCAGTACTATCTAACTTTTACTGTATATCTTCAGTTCAGTGCCAGTTTTGTCAGATATTAGAAGATGACATCAGAGACAGTGGGTCCAGCTGCTTGATTGATGTGTGGAGGGAAACAGTGCTGAAATTCAATAACGTACAGTGTCAGTCGATTATCCATCAGTGTCACTGCTGCACAATAAACACAATTGCATTACCGCTGCTTACTGTAGGAGCACTGGGAACAGCAGAGTTACACAGAGTTGACATGCAAAGATACAAACATATAATGCACAGAAACACATTGGCACAGCGCAGCGGTAGGAAAGTCATCTCATTATTGGATCAGAGGGTATTAAATCAGCCCCATGTTGTCTTTTCATCATTGCCTGCTGATGGTGGATTAATGGCCAGCGGTTTATTTTACATAGCCATCGGCTCCAACCCACAGCAGCTCCTTTAATTAAATAACACATATACACACAGCACAAGTCTATTTCCTAGTCCAGGATTCATGGATTCATTCCTATGCTAGAGGATGTCTCAACCTGATGCAACATTTGTCCTTTGGTTGACAAGTTTTAATGCAATTGGTTTTCACATACTTTACCTGAATTATATGTCAGTTTTTATATTCTTCAGCTTTGTTTATTTGTTGCCTGGAAAACATTTTGTAAATCCAAATCATTAGTAGCACAGAAGGCTGGCATTAACACGAGGAGCCTTCACATTAACAGTTAATGCATTCATAGCATAAATTACGCAACCAATCCTCCTTAGAATTCTGAGCATAACGTAATTCCTTACAGAAACCATCTGTCGCATGAAAAACAGTGTGAATGAGGTGGCCAGCCTTATTTGGCTGCACTGTAAGTGAACCTAGATGAATGAAAACTATCACTGCGATAAAGCTTGACTCATCCTGGCCTCCCCATGGACAAAAGAAACATTCTTTTCAGTGAAGATATCATCTAATAGCGCCTTTTATGGATATTATGTGTGGGCAGTGAGGACAAGGATTTAGGTTACTCTGCAGCAGTCGTCACATAAATGCACTAGTTGACAGTTGTGGAGCAGACATTGGAGAAGAAGCACTGGTGAATATTTTGGCAGACTTTATGGACACTCACAGGGTATTAATTCATTGGCACAGTGCAGTATGTTGGTGGATGGTAGTGGCTCATCACCTGTAAATGTAGGTGATAAAAGCCTGCTGCGTGGCCTGTCCTTGTACACAAGCAAGGCAGACACACACACACACACACACTCAAGCGAGGAGGTAAATACAGTAGCTGATCATGCTGTTCTATGTTATGGGGGTATGTTCAGTTTATGTTTCATCTGCCTATACTGTATATAAATCCTCTCCTCTCCCCCTCTTCCCACAATCCCTCCTCTCCCACTCAGAGACACAGTTTCCAAAGGCTTCAGGAGATAACTCGTCATGTGATGACGACAGCAATTACAGTCTGTCTCCAGAACAGCCAATAAACCAGGAGTCTCCTCTGGGCCTACTACCTCTGCCCTCTCCACCAGAGACACTGGCTGGAAGCAGCATCCCATCTCCTACACAGGTAGGGTCACTCCGGAGAGAGGGTGACATAGTGTGATTAATATGTCCTGTGTCATGGATGCAAGATTGTAATACATGAGTAGAAAAGTAAATTCCATGACAATAACAAACAAACAAATTCATAGTCACATTTACTTAAAAACAAATTATGTAACATGAAGCTATGTCCTCCTACTGCTGGGGTCTGTTAACTGTTAATTGTCTATATTTTAGTGTTATTATATAAATATATATCTATTCACATTAATTAAATAAACACATAAACGCATAACATAATTATTTTAATATTATTATACTTAGATTTGTTTTCAAATAATAATGACCTATATATATATATATATTATTTTTTTTTAAAGTCACAGAGACATTTTTTTTGTTAAAAAAATCAACTTATCAGTGCTCTCTAATGGATATATCTGTAATACAATATGTAATTGTGACACTGTTTCTAAATGACCCTTAAACCTAGTTTGGCAAGTGGCAAGAAATTGCAGGACAGAAACGGCAATTTCTTGTTATCATCTGACAAATACACCAATACTGATAGATCTGCAATAGGCTACTATGTCTCTAGGTGAGGCTGTGGTGTAGCCATTAGTGAACACTGTTTTTATTTTTTAAATTAGGTTGCTCCTCCTGCACCTCCTCCCCCACCTATCTCTGGATCCCCCCCCACACTGAAGCTGACCAATGGGATTACAGCACCATCTGCCCAGAGTACAGGGGCGATCTCACAGATCAAGGTAAGTGACAACTGCCAGCCAAGGTGTCTTAAAAAGTGTCTCATAATCTCAGAAAGAAAACGTAATCAATGCTTTTATATTAACAATCAATCAAATGATCTCTGTCAACAAAAATCTCCTTAAACCCACTTTATGCTACCAACCCAACACCAAACGGAAGGCAGACAAAGTTATGGCTAGCTGGTGCAAATATTTGATCTTTTAGCAGCTAAAGAGCCAGATATTTTCCTCAGGAGTTGGTAGAGACCAAAACAAAGCTACACAGAGAGTAAATACTGGACTTACATTCATCAGGTCGCCAAATTAATGATAATGTTGCTTTCATAATGATGGTAATGTTGTTTCTTGTTGTGCTGCCCTCAAGGGGTCAAAACTATTTTTTGACATCAAATATAAAAATTTGGTATATCGTATGCACAGCATGCACTTACAATCCCTCTCTTTTTCCAGTACCAGCCTAAACCAAACTCTGACCGCTCTGCACACAGTAAGAAACCAAAGGACAACAAGCCAAAGGTAGGTTTTTAATTCTGACATACAGACAGTACTGTTGCTAATACTATAAGCTGTTGTAAATCATTATGCTAGTATTTCAATGAGCCAATCCATCTAAACCTAAGAGGGGAAAATTAGTCATTGAAGCACCAATATAGTTCTCAAACGATAATTTGTTGTATTGATGTGTTTCTCTCTAGATTAAAAAGTTAAAGTACCATCAGTACATCCCTCCGGACCAGAAGGGCGATAAAGAGCCTCCTCCCCATCTTGACTCATCTTATGCCAAAATCCTCCAGCAGCAGCAGCTCTTCTTGCAGCTCCAGATTCTCAATCAGCAGCAGCAGCACTACAACTACCATGCCATCCTGCCTGCACCACCCAAGTATGTTTCACCTGGAGAAAATAGGTGTTGCCTGGGATAGGGGAGTTTGTCTGAGACCATCAATCAAGCCTCTATAATCTAAAGCAACCAGACACACTGTCAGTTTTTCAAAAGACCGTAGCGATCACCATCCGTTTCCTCTCTCTGACTTTCTCTCCAACAGACCTCAGATGGATCAGCAGCCCTCTTCCTCCTCAAATTCCACGACCATCTCCTCCCCACCTCGACCTGTCGCCGCCTCTTCAACAGCCCCCTCTAACCAGGGCGGTCACAGCCGTCAGAGTTCTGCTTCTTTGGGTGGAACAAAACCAGCATTTCTACCTCCAAACCTGGATGAAATGAAGGTTAGTTGTACAACAACATATAAATCCAAAAGGAAACAGCATCAATGATCAATATTTAATGTCTAATTTTCATGATTTGAGCAGCACTAGTGGTGGATGGACACTGTACCTCACCTATACTATGATACATTTTCAGTCTACAAGTGAAGCACAGTAAAGACTAACAGCTCTTTCTGCTGTCTACAAGCTATGGGTCGATGAAGTAACTTTTAGATAGAAGTTGACATTTGTAAAAGATTCTCTGTTAACAAATTTTTGTCACCGAAAAGAGGCCTGCTGACAAAGAAAGGGACAGTGATGGATTACTCTGTCTTTTTGTTTTCTCTCTTCTTTTTTCCTTTGATCCTTTTCAATTTTCCTCTGATATTTATCCTCATCTCTTCCCCCTTTCCTCGCTCTTGTCCTTCACACTCAATTTCTCTTTTACTCCATCTTCTGTCAGGTCGCGGAACTGAAGTCCGAGTTGAAGCTGCGCAACTTGCCAGTCTCCGGCACCAAAAACGACCTCATTGAGAGGCTGAGGACCTACCAGGAACTGAATGGAGGCAGTGACACTACCTCCTCTCGAACAGCAGGGGGTACCACAGGGCCAGGGGCTGAAGGAGCAGGAAAATCCTCCAAAACTGCTGCAACCACCACCTACAACAATACATCACAACAACAACAACAGTTTCACTTTCAGTGCCATCAGACATCTTCTCTTACCGGTCAGTCAGATTAAATTTGTTCACAAACAAAGCATTTACCTGTACCTTCTCTAATGTGGGATTACTTGTGAAATCAATTACCACTCCTCACTTTAGTTATGTACTCAAGTGTTGAAAGATAAGGAAGAAAACAGTGTAGATGTATGTAATGTATCATCTTTGTGCTAATGTCATATCACCCTTTCTTAATCCCTGTATAGCTGATGCAGGTAGCAGTTCCGCCCCAGCAGCAGCCACTCCTCAACAGCTCACTGGCTGTGGTCGCAACGTCTCCTCCTCTAATGCCTCGCTCACTCCCTCAGGCTGCTCACTGGGAGCCATGAGCCCAGAAGATACCAGCTTCAACAACGACCCCTTGGGGGAAAAGGTCTGAATTATTTTGTTAACTTAATCTTAGATAACCCCAGAAATGTACTGAAACTTTCCACTTGCACATTTGAGTGTGGTGATTGATTTGTGAAAGAAATGTAAAAAAAATAAAATAAACTAATGTATTAAAATAAAATTTTAATATATTAATTATACTTCACTGCACTAATGATTAATGTACTTGACATACTAGTATTACTACTGTATTAACTATATATAATTAGTAATTTTTTACATTCTACATAGAAGACGCAATTGAGTTCTAAATAAGCATAAATTATATTAGCAATTACCTAACTATTAACATACATTTAATGCAGTGCAAATACTTGTAAAATGTAAACATTATACCTGAAATAGTAATTTAATTAAATTTAGAGAATGTATGGTCAACATGATAACTATTATACCTGCTCAACATTAGCATGCTATCACTGTCACTGTGAACATGTTAACATACAGAAGTTAGCATTTAGCTTTAATAATGCTGTAGACTTATCTTGCTTACGTACTAAGAATTGTGATTTTAGTAGTCTCAAGCTCTTGCACTTTATTTCACAGTTTTCTACTATACGTTTACCTATTTATATTATCACTCTTTCTGTCTAGATGAGTTCGCCTCTCACGCAGCTGAGCCTTCAGCCATGTTCAGCTGCTGAGCTTCCAATTAACATTAAAGAAGAGCCGAACTGCTCCACCCCAGCTCCTTGTCAATTCTCTTTAAAGGCTGCCTCTCTGCAGAAACATTGCCTGGCCTCATCAGCTGCCGCCTCAACTACAACCACAGCTCCAGTAGTGGCTATGGACAAAGACAAGATGCTGCAGGAGAAAGACATGCAGATAGAGGAGCTGACCAGAATGCTGAGGCAGAAACAGAGGCTGGTGGAGTTGCTGAGGATGCAGCTGGAGCATGGGAAGAGGGAAGGAAGAGTTTCAGAGCCACTAGTTCTTGTAAGAGTTAAACAAGAACCACCTGATAAGCCAAATGTCCCTCTCTCATTTGGCCACCCACCTTTCCCCTCTCCACCTTCATCTGTTTCATGTGACATGGATGTTACCAAGGTAACTGTCAAACAGGAAGCTGTTGAGGCAGAGGATGTTGTGGCTGAGGCAACTACGCAATTACCAGACACTCGTGGATTACCGCGGTCTTTAATCCAAACTCAGGAGGTACAAATCAAGCCAGAGCAGATGAACAAACAGAAAAAACAACAACATATATGTCTCCAGCAAACCACTCTGCAGTTTGCCCAGCAACAGGCCATACAGAAACTTTTGCTACAGCAACAGCACAATATTCAGAACCAGCAGCAGACAAATCAGAACAGCAGTCAGACTCTGGAGAATCAGCAGAACCTGCAGAGACTTTCTCAGCAGAGAAAGAAGAAATCTCACAAACAGCAGCTCAAACAGCAGCAGCAGCAGCAACAGCTGCAATCACAACATCTGCATCAACAGTCAAAGCGGCATCAACAGCAGATGCAGCTGAAGCAACAGATTCTTCTGAAGCAACAAAAGTCGGTTTTACAGCAGCAAAATAAGCAGCAGCAGCAGACTAAACAACTGCAACAAATCCAGATACAGACCAAGATACATCTGAAGCAACAACAGGTGCTAATACAGCAGAAACAACCGGCGCAACAGCAGTCCCCGCAGGTCAGGAATGAGTTTTACAATATCGTTTACAGTGCATAGACTTTGGTGTCAGATTTCCAAATTATGCCAGTAAAATTCTGTGATTGAGGGTGTTCCTGGACAGTGGTCTCCTGACGAATCCCTTGTTGAATCACACGAGGAGGAGACGTTTTGCCATGCTTGTGTAAAATACAAAGTAAAATGTACATAATTCATTATGCTGTCTGTTTTGTACAGGTGTCTCAGACGTACCTCAACCAGCAGTCAGGCTCAGCCCCCTCGTTCCCACTGGATCTTCTTAAGAGTAACTCCGCCCCGACTCTGGTCACCGACAGCAACGGCAACCACTTCCTGATCGCACTGACCAGTCACATCACAGAGAACCAAAGAAGTGATGCGCCTGAGACTAAAACAACCAATCAAATCACTCTGCAGGTACCTGACACACTTTCAGCCATCCACTTTTTTGTGAATCGGGACTGATTCATGAATTCTGATCTACTCTTGTTATTATTATATTCAGCACTTAAAGGTCCAGTGTGTAACATTTAGGAGGATCAATTGGCAACAATGGAAAATAATATACATAGTTATGTGTTAATTATTGTATAATCACCTGAAAATAAGAATTGTTGTGTCCTCTTTTATGGAGTATGCCATATTGAACCTCCATGTTTCTACAGTAACCCAGAACAGAAGACCCAAACACTGACTCTAGATAGAGCCTTTCACATTTTACAGGCGAGCTGTATTCAAATAGTTGCAATCTGCAACTTCACCACTAGATGCCACTGAATTCTACACACTGAACCTTTACCAATACTAATACTAACTACGCAGTATTAATTGTTCATTTTCCACCAGCGACTACAGTCTACTCCAGCCAAGCTCCCTGGCCACAATCCTGTTCAGCTGCCTAAAGCTGATAATCAAACCAAACAGAGTGTGCATGAGGGATTTTTGAAACAACAAAAGACAAAGGTGAGATTTAAGATGTTGATGCAACCAGATTAAAAGTAGCAGGAGTAGCATTGCACAACAGGAAAACATTTTTAAAAAAAGGAAAAGAAAGATAGTCTTATATACCGAAAATATGACTACTTTTACAGTATGTGGGGAATATCTCAAAACCTCAACAGATCAAAGCGAAACTATCCGCCTGGAGAGGCCTGGAGAAACATTTTAAATAATCACACATCCCTTTTACACAATTAATGAATCCCCGTCATACTACATACAAACTTCACTCCTGCCCCAGAGCCTCTGTTTCCCATCACTGGAGCAAAAACAGAACAGTGTGTTAATGCTGCATGAACAGAGAGCGAAACATGAGGGTGAAAGAGAACTGCTCCACTGAGTCCAATAGCAGTGGAAATTAATGATGTATGCTGTTTGAGGCAGTGACAGCAGTCCTTGATAAGAGTGTCTGACACTATCACGATGCTGATTATTATTGCTTTGCTAATTACTCTAACGACATCCTCCATTACTATGATTTATATTGTTAACGGAGGAGGAACAAAGACTCCATTGCATCTTGGCTAATTGAGATGTACAGGATTTCCCATCAAGTGCAGGTGTGCTGGAGAAAAGACTGCCTCTTTTTACCCCTCCTATGATACAAGTACCACTAAACATTTTGTACGGCCCTTTCTTAGCAAAAATATATAAAATCAAAGTTACTGCTGCTTCTGAATACTGTTCCCCATGTAAGGAGTACTTATCTTTCTACTCTTTTCCATGATTTGAAGCCACAGAATGGGGGACTTCAGGTATCTGTTGACCAGCCTCAGCAGGAAGTTACTCAGTGTTTGTCAGCACCTCCCAGTCTGCAGCCTTTCTTCAAGGACCAGGAGACCGCTCCCTCAGGGAAAAACACCTTATCACCTTCTTCTCAAATTGTAAGTAATCTCCGGATGACACAGATTATCTTCCAAGGTGACTTGTATCCTCCTGTAACATTGTAAAGGATTTTGTGATAACTTTGGATGCACAAAAACTTTTTCCCTTCCCTGGCTTTGGAAAGTGAATGGAAACTTGTTCATTCTCTTGTAGGACGTCTGCCCTAGTCTGGATGTCTTGTTTAGTCCTCTGTCTCCTGCTTCCATTAAGACAGCTGCCTCATCGCCTGATAACAAAGTATGACATGTCTGATTGTTTTTAATCCAAAATGTGTGATTTTTATTGCCCTTGGGCGTGCTTCTTAAGTTTTTCTAAACTATATTAAGCCAAACTATATTGCTCTGCATTCTAGTTTGATATGTCGTCTGTGTTAATGTTTAATGTGTTGTTCCCTCTGTGTGTCTGTGCTCAGGATACAGAGCGTGAGGATGATTTTATTGACATAATTTTGCAGACAGGAGGTACGATTTTTTTTATTACAGCAATACAACAATTAAATTTGATTTATTGTATTGCGAGCGTCATTTCATTCTGTGTTTTTTTTTCCCCCTCAGAGATGTCGAGCGCCTTCAAACCAGCACCTGACCCGTCTCTGGAGCATTTAAATCCAAACTCCTCTGCCTCTTCCACTCCTCCCTCCCCGCTCCAGCTGTTGCTACCCCCCTCCATCCCACCCAGCTGTGACACCCCACAGCAGGCCCTCTCGGTGCAGTCTGAGCTTCAGACTCTGGTCGGCACCACAGAACAGAAACAACACCTCAGTAGCGTTGGGAGTGGACGCCTGGAGGACTTTCTGGAAAGCACCACTGGTAAGCCTCTCCTGGGGGTGGAACCCGGGGGCCTGTTGACTTTGATCGATGACCTCCACAGTCAAATGCTGTGCACTCCAAGCATCCTGGACCATCCCCCGTCTCCCATGGATACCTTCGATATGGAAGTGGAAGGGGAGCATGGGATGGACAGTATGGATTGGTTGGATCTCACCATTGGAGGAGTGAGGGGAGAGGAAACCCCCACACTGGCCCCACTGGGCCCCCAGACACCCCCTAGTGTGTTTTCCACAGACTTCCTGGACAGTTACGACCTGCAGACTCACTGGGACTCCTGCCTATAGCCTAGAGCAATCGGAAAGCAAACATCCTACACAGTTCCATGCACTCACACAGTTGCACACATGCACAAAAACATGGAATTGATTGCTGAGGCTTCAGTATCTAATAAGAGCACTCTTTCTGTATCTTCTCACGCACTGGTATATTGAATCTTCAAGCACTTTGACCTTTATTTATTTTATTTACAGGCTGTAATATTGATTTTTGTACAGACACTTATTAGGCAGGTCCTATGTCTGTTCTTGATTCTTTAGCAAGAGTTTTGTCAACACATTAGTTGATGAGACACTTCTGAGCCATTAACCTGTAGCTTACATATAAATGAATCCCATCTTTCTTTGTCACAGACACCATGTTACAGCGGAGAGAAGTTTATCGGTTTATTTGACTGTCTCCTAATTAGAGCGCAAATCCTTAGTTGCCTTTTGTAGTACAGATACAGATCAAGATAACAATAGTGTACCACTACAGGAAATGGTACAGCTAATCAATACCCAAAGTTAAGCTTAAAGACAATGGTTTTATTGCAACATAATAGTTTATAGGTGGAGCAGAGATGTTGTTTGGTCATAATTTCAAAATATGTTGTGATATTAGATCACACTTTACTGAATCATGTTTTTCTTATACATTTTTGACAGTTACAGAATATACGTCTCCACATCTTAGACAGTGGTTTGGGTTAAAGTGTTACTGCAATTTGTATCCTTTTCACTATTAATGAAACTGACATCACACACATACAGCAGACCCCAACTTCTGCTTTGGAACGTTTCATTAATTTATCTTCTCTCCAGCTATCTATTGTACATGATTTTTAAACATTTCATGGTAGTATTATCTGTCAACAAATTACAAAATTTTTTATTTCTGGATGAAAGTAAAATATTTTAATTAATTATGAGGTAGTTGATGAAGTTGGTTTCACACAGCTCCAGTGTTACAGTACAGCAACAAAACAAAAATTGGTTGTCATCATCGTAAGTGAGACATAAAAATCCTGTTGTCTGTTGCACAAAACCTGCTTTAACTGAATTGAAGGTTCCACTTTTCTCACGTTCGCAGATTCTCAAAGAGAGTCACAAGAAGTATCTCACACCCATTCTGTTGGTGAGAACAAATACTGAGCACTTTGCAACAGTCAGTGTTCAATGCTGAGTACCTACTGTATGCTCAAGCTCTAATTTCAGGATATAAGATAAAAGACACTTTTGAAAAAACTTTTGAGATAATTTCATACATAACCCAACTTCTAAACTTAGTTTATTGGGGACAGTTTCAAAAAGTTCATATTCTGATGATATTTAATATTGTTGTGTACTCAGAATGTTTAGCAGAAATGGACATTGAATATGTCCCACGTGAGCCCATTGTCTTAATCTTTTTTTATTTGACATAATGCTACTTTATAGTATGTACATTACATAAATCTGTACACGTTTTGTATTAATATTTCATGTGTGAATGTATTTGGTATGAAATCTTCTGAAGGTAAACATACAGGAGTAATGTCTCTACGCATTATGCGCTACACATATGGTAAATAGGTTTTTGTGGTCATTTTGGGACTTTTGTGTCTTGAAAGCTGTCATACTAGTATAGTATAGAATAGTTTCCTTCCCTTTCTAAGAACATACACACACACACATACAGTATAATTAAAAAAGGGAAACTTCTGCAGCATTATAGATTCTTGACACATTTAATTGGATGTAATGCCTTCTGCATAAGGATGTTTGTGTTAATGGTGATATTTAGCTGTCCTGTACTGTATCAGTACTTTTGCCTATGGGGAAATGTTTTATATCAGTCCTTTCCTCTTTGAGATTTTACACTGCTGTAATGTACCAGTTTAGACACTGAAACTGTATTATAAGACATGCAGCTTTCCGTTTTAGCTGTGGATACTGTGACTTATTCTGTTTATGACAAAATGTCTGTATTGTGAATCCAAAGCCTTGGAGACTTGCTCATTAGCACAATCACAAACCCACACACACACACACACACACACACACACACACACACACACACACACACACACACACACACACACACACACCGAGTTCATTTTTGATTCTCATTTATCATTTTACACTTTCATGCATTTTTCACCACAAACATAGTGCACCATACTGTACATTTGTAATCATATTTACACTTTATATGTGATGGGTGTGGAGACTTTGTCACATTTTCCTGTTGTCTGAACTCTTGTTCACACACTGGCCATTAAGAGACCCCTTCCTGATGCGTGTTTTTGATGGAAGTGATGGGGGAGAAAATCCTTGTTCTGTGAAAAAATGTATGCCACATTTTTTTTTTAACTCATAGCAGTTATAACATACAAATTCTGAAGTATTCTTTTGATTCTAATAGTATATAAGTTTTAATTGAGTATTCAGTAAATAGTCAAGTTGTGTATGCCAACATAGGCTAATACTGCAAACTCAGTTATTTTAATGTACATAGTAGTTATTTGAGTTTTTGTTGAACTTTTTATTTTATTTATTTCATTTAATTTCATTTTACGTGCCTGGCATGAAGTATCAAATACACTTCAACTCTGTCAAACTTATGTGGACTTTCAAATAAGAGGAATCTCTGATTTCTGCTGTAGTATTTCTGTAAGTGTTGGGCCGCCTCATGTAAATGATTGTGAAAGCATTAGGAAAAAAGTTATTGGACGTTTGGGGAAATTGTTTGAGCTTTTTGTGTACTTTAACTTTAAGTATTTCTTTTTCTAAAAACAAAAATGAATTTGTTAATAAAAGACGAGATAAATAAGTCTGCTGTGGTAAGCTCTGAGTATTTCAATTATGTGCTAAGCATGGCTGGTACATGCACTGCTGTACATGCATTTTCTCCAACCATCATACAACACTGTTTCATTTCCACTCTGCTGAGAGCATACCTTGGTCTAATTTTTAACATTCTTTGCATCAAGTAGCATCCAGTTATACCTACTGGGCTACTTACCTTAAATGAAAAGTTAAACATTTGGGAAATATGTTTATTTGCTTGCTTAATGGAAGTAAGATGAGAAGATTGATACCGCTTACATGTCTGTACAGTAAATATGAAGCTACAGCCAGCAGCAAGTTTGTACAGATTAAACATACAACATCTAATGTGTTAATTAGTGATCCTTTGTGGCGCTGCTAAGTGGACTTTCTTGGCTCTTTCCCCATATTTTCAGAGAGCATGGTATCAATCTTCTCATCTAACGCTCAGTCAGAAAGTAAAAAAGTGTATTTCCCAAAATGTTAAATGAATGTTGATTAATTACAATGCACGTTACCATGTGACTCGATCAACTGTTGAATAAACTGCCGATTGTTTTCTGTGCAGCATGCAGATGAAACAGACAGCAAGGAAAATATTTACCCAACAGACAGAGCAGATACAGAGGAAATTATATACTGTAAATATTGTGAATGGTATTTATACTCTAACTATACTCTCTAACATTACAAGATGGCTGTCTTGCAGATGCAGTCTTTACTTGCTGAGATAAACATTACATTGTCGTCTTGGAACTGTCAGAAGCTTTGATTTAAGAAAACTAGAGCAAACTAATTTGTCTATGAGGCCTATGTTTGTTTTTGATGTTCCCCGACATTCTGTGATATTAGAAGAGCTAATGACATCGACCTACATAGCTGAACATAATTACATGCTTATATGTGCAGTTATCTTGTTTATCTTCACACCCACAACCTCGCTGCTTATCTCTGAAGATGCATCACACAAGCTCACACCACCTATAAGCCCACATGAGAGCAAGCAATGCAACACTGTCTTCATGCACATGCTGTCGCTACAGAATGATACACACATGCACAAGCCTCCGTCACACAGGCACACACACACACACACACACACACACACACACACACACACACACACACACACACTTGGGTGGTTAAAATGTGCTGTGAGCAGGAGGATGACAGAGCTGTAGTGTTGTAAAAAGTGAGTCACAAGAGGGCGAAAACTAGATGACTGTATGGTTACAGCTTTGCTCTGGGGAGAGGGAGCACACACACACACACACACACACACACACACACACACACACACACACATAATATAAACACAAACATGTTTCCACATATGAAAAGTAACACACACACACACACACACACACACACACACACACACACACACACACACACACACACATCCTTGCCAAACCAGGATATGGGTGGCGTGTGAGGGAGGCGGATGATTGGCTGATAACAACTCTCTAGCTACTAATGGAGGGGAGCAGAGGATGTCAGGCTAACATCTATTCCACATTGGGCATCCCAGGCCTCCCACTGAAGCCCATAACAAAAGAGAGTGTGTGTGTGTGTGTGTGTGTGTGTGTGTGTGTGTGTGTGTGTGTGTGTGTGTGTGTGTCTCAAATCTGCATTTTTACACAATAATGCACAGTCAATGATATTGTTGTGTACACTTGAAATAACCCAAATATCTTGATTTCCTTAGAAAATTGTCTGCCATGTAAGTTGTTTTTCACAACCCTCCAGCTTCTCCAACAGAAGCACTGAAGGGTTACCTTAGTAGCTCACCTGGTAGAGGGTGTGCCCCATTGAACGAAGACCTTACTATAGTGGCCTGGGTTTGATTCCAACCTTTGGCCCTTTGCTGCATGTCATCCCCCCTCTTTCTGCATCCATTTCCTGTCTCTCTTTATCTGACTCTGTCTATTAAAGGCCAAAAAGCCTGAATGATGATTTAAAAAAAAAAAAAAAGTGGGTTAGAAGTCTCAATGTTGCTCAGAAAAATGGTGGAAGCTCAACAAATCTGAGCTAATCTTGCAGATTATCATCTTAAACAAACTAAATATGCAATTAATTTGGTAATTAATTTATCTTAAGGTTACTTCCCACTCAGGTGAATGAGATAGCATTTCCTGTAACTTTAGTGCTGAGAAACGTCTATGGCTTAATTGGCTGCTTTGAAATGCACTTCAGGTAAAGCGGTGTTAAGTCTCAGTTCAAGTTTTCATCCATTTTGATTGACGTCAGTGTAATTGAGCAGCTTGTGTTTTTCCACCGGGTCAGAAAAACAAACTCCTCTTCTGCAGATGTTTATGAGGAGAATGATTTTAAAAGTCTGAGCCAAACAAATTGCAATCATCTGCTCTGCTACCCATTTTTTCTAGCCTGCATAGCTTCACCTCTGGCATAAGAAGTGCAAGATCATGGCTACTCATTAACACACACACACACACACACACACACACACACACACACGCCCCTAAATCCAACGCTATAATTTTGGACCGGGCTCAGAAGGAGTTTTGCTATCAGGCACTCTGAAGTAATGCAGATGCTTTGATGCATCTCAGCAGAACAGCGGGGGGTCTGCTTGTGATGTGGAAGTATGTTAGTACTTGCAAACACACAGAAAAGCACATGCATGCACAAATATATGCAAAAAGTAAAACAGAGATTTACTCTGAAATGCAGTGCGCAAATACACACATTTGATTTACTCACCTCCTACAAGAGAAAACAGTTAAGTCTTAAGGATGAGGCACTTACTGTATTAAGGAATCTTTACTTTTTATAGCAACATTATGTAACTTTTCTACCTTAAAATAGCAGCTTTAAAACCATTTTGCTGCACTGAGTTGTAATAGGGTGAATGGGTGCCTCTGTCATTCACACTCTGCCTGTTCTTGCACTATATAACTTTGGCTCAGTACTAGTGTGTAATGCTTTACGGTGGTAGTCACACACCACCAGCAATGTCACTGACCATTTTTTAACTGTTTCAATTCTCGAAAGGTTTGAGTTTAAATAACTCCATTAATAATAAAAGTTAGTGTTAGGGGACCTTCGTCAGGTCACAACACTCTTACAGTCTTTCAATGTGCAATACATTTGATTATTATTATGTTATTCTGTAATTATTCAATCATTCCTTGTAATTATTTATAACTTCTGCGAACCACAATCTTAAAACTCATTGCTATTTATTTTCTGTCATTGTTGAATATGTTTACGTTTACATTTACTTTGTATAGGCTCTTATTATCTTATTATATCTCTTAGGCTCTTATTGTATTTCTATTTCCATTTTTATCCTTTTACTTGTGTATATACCGATACATACATTTCTATTCTGTATATTGTGTTAGATATTGTATTATAAGTATTATTTCTATTCTTTACCATGTGTGAGTAGAACAACTGTAACAAACAAAAATTTCCCCCCAGGGATCAGTTAAGTACTTCTTCTATTGATACATTAATTAACCAGTTGGATACAACTAGGACAACAGTCATTGTTTAAAGAAACCAACCCAGACCTCCATTCTCTGCGGACTTTGTGCCTCTATAATAATGTCTGCTGTCTGCAGACTACATTTTCTGTCTTTGGTTATGACTAAGCCAACCAAACTACTGAAGTGAAAGCCCCCACAGTCACAAAGCAAAAAGCTATGTGAGACTGGGTGTGGAGCTGTTGTTGTTCTTGATTAGAAGTGACAGTCCTCTGAAAGCTCAGGTTATTTCAGACCAAACATCATGACACCTCCATGGTGGATGAGGGAGTGAAATTAATTTGTGCTTAGCATGGAGGGCGAAGAATATCTGCCCACTGAAGCAGCGTCCTTTCAAGCCTGAAGAAAAAAAACCTATAGAGGAAGAAAAAAGGGGAATTGACAGAGAAACGGCGAAGAGAGGAACATCTGAGTAGAATACAGTACAACATGTATTCTTGGTCAGATCCTCAAGGTCAAAGCAGGCTCCCTCAAGATGACGGATCATATGCTAAATCTGGACCGCTCTAATGGAAACCTGCTGCGATGAAATGTTCATACCGACACGCACAAGCACACAGTGAAGTGGCAGATTTCAGATCCAGCTGTGTGTACAGACAAAAATGCTGACAGCGGCTGTCAGATACACATGTGAATGAGTAAAACAAGGCTGCGAGCACATGGACAGACACACACGCACAGACAACAACTATGAGACACGCCAGCATGCACGTGTATGCTTGTATTTGTTGCGTTGTTGTTACATAGGCTAAGGGTAAACGCTTACAAAGTTGCAAACGTCACAGTTTAGCACTGCATGCCATATTAAAGAGAACAGAAGCAATGCACTGTGGTCATAAAGAAGAATAGCTGATTCATTATGTTTTAATGAATCAGTTATTAAATGGGCCTGGTTTCCACCCACTGACCATCTGTGTCACCTTAGCTCTCCAGAGCTGCTGGGATACAAACCAATCATAAGGAAATTACATGAATGTGACGCCTACATTGCTCCTCATGCCTTAAAATTACAGCACGCACATGAAAGCTCAGCTAATATGTAGAGTTTAGTTTAATTTCTCTGTACTGGACCTTGAATCTACCTCTGTGTATGAGACATGCTGTGTAAATGAAAACCTCCATCATGACCCAGTGAACAATCCCCCTACACTGCAGAGGTAATAAAAAAGACATAAAAACTAAATCAAATTTACAATGAGCGGCTACTGATGTGTCCGCACCTCTCATCCATATCAGTGTGAGTTCAGGTGCATCACAATTAGGCCTGGTTGTTTTTTAATTAGCCTAATTAGCTAATTAGCTAAAACACCACATCTAGCTGCAGGCTTCATTTGACCACAGCATGACTTAAGTGACAAAGGGAGCAGCCAAATCCACAGTTGCACTACTATAAGGATCAGTGATGATATAAAAACCCTGACTCATTCTATTTAGTTTCCACAGTCATGCTACCAATATATAACTAATATAATAAATCCAAATACTGTTTCTTG